TCTATATATATACAAGACTGTATTGGAGCTTCGCGCCATGCGCCTTGTTCCGGACGCTTCCCCGGCAAAGCAGTAAATCATCGCTTGCCTCAGCAGGGGGGACCTCGAGGCATGACACCGCGTTCGCCCGATCCGCTTGCACGCTTGTGCGCGGCAGTGGGGAAGGAATAATCATTTGTCACGCATTTTCACGCGCGAAGGTGCTGATAAACGACGAAGCATCAAACTGTTGCGATGGCACTTGTCCATGCACGGGGAACGGGAAGGGAGCAGAGATGATGGGGGGGTCTGAAGAGGCGGAAGGGGGTAGGAGGGGAGGAGAAACGGGGAGACTTGTCATAGGAAGTTGCGGGCGCACGAGGATGGTCATCGGATGCCACGAACGTGGAGGTCGACGAAGAAGGCAGAGCGGGGAATGTATAGAGAGAGAGGGAGAGAAAGGGTGAGGAACGGGAAAGACAGGCGGGCTGGCGTGAGCGCAGCGAGCGCACGGCCGCAAACAAATCCTCTGCGAAGCTAGCCCAGCAGCGCAGCCACGCGGGCGCCAGGGGGCACGGCGGGCAGAAAGATGATCAAGCGGCTAGGGCCCTCTTGGGAGCCTCCAGTGGCCTTCGTGGGGGTCTCCCATGGCTTTCGTGGGTCTCGCTTGGTAGCCTTCTGGGGGCATCTGCATCTCGGGCTTCTTGTGGCCAGTCTCGGGGCTCGCTGGGGCGGTCTTGGGGCGCTCTTGGGCCGTCTTCAAACCCTCTGGGGGGCCTCTTGGGCCGTCTTGGGGCGATATTTGGGGCCCATCGGGCCGTCTTGGACGCTGCGAAGATCCAAAAAGCGGATATGCTAATGAAACAATTTCCAAAGGGAATGAAGTGAATGTTGCTTCGTCGGGGCTCTCTTAGCGGCCTCTTGAGCGCGTCTTGGGGGCCTCTTGGGCCGTCTTCAGACCATCGAGGTTCCTCTTGGAACGCTCGTGTGCTGTATTGGGTCTGTCGGGCGCCTTCTGCGATGATCCCTCTGATCGCCTTGAGTCTGCTCGCAAGTCCCGGCAAGGCGCCCTGGGAGGCCCAGAAGGACCAGCGGACCATTTCGAACAAGGGCGTCCAATGGGCCGCCGATACGTCCGAAAAAGGTGTCCGGGGCGTCCCTTGAGGGGGGTCCAGTTTAGGGTGGGGGTGGGGGTGGGTCCGGGTATATATATATATATATATATATGTATATGTATATATATACATACACATATATATATATATATATATATATATGAATATATGAGGGTGGGTCCGGGTATATATATATATATATATATATATATATATATTATCGAGAGGTTTATGTAAGTTCTCAGGTCTACATTTCTATTTCCCGGGACCCCCTCTCCGAAATCGGACCCCTCGAATCCCGGGCCCCCGGAACCCCCTGGACCCCCCGGATCCGTGGCATGGGGACCTCCTGGACGCCTGGGCCCCCCCAAGCGATTCAGAGTTCCTGGAAGCCTTTGCTGGGCCTGGGCGACGGGCTCAAATCGGTCAGGGCGGCCGAACGCCCCCCCGAGGGCCCCAAGATGCCCCAGACACCCAGCAGACGCCCGAAAACGACCCAAAGAAGACCCCCGAGAGGTTTCCGAAACGCAGAGAAACATAGATTGTCCAAGGTTTTCGCATGATTTTGGAAATGGTTTGTTCTTCGGTCTTCTGGGCGTCCGAGACCGCCTGGGAGGTTCGAAAGTCGCACCAAAATCATTCGAAAGGGCTTCCAGGCAGTCCACGAGAGTCCCAAGACGGCACAATAGGGTTCCAAGATGGCGTGATAGAGAGCCCCATGATGGCCCATGATGGCCCCAACTCGCCCTCCGAAGCATTCCAAATCGTGGCCTGGTCGTTCAGGGAGACCGCGGTTGGAGGCAGGGTGACCCGAGGAAGCCCCGAGAGGCCCCCAGAAAACGCCCAGGAGGCCTCCAGAAGGCCTTAAGACAAAATGAGAAACTTCCGTGAGGCCCCCAGAGGCTCTCCAAGGAGGAGCCTCCGCAAAAGGTTCTGCGAAGGGCGGGGAAGAATTCGCAGGGTAGGGCGCGAACGAGGAAAAAGAAACATGGGGTAAGGATAACGTATAACATTGGTATATAACGGCAATGCTGGAAACGACAACAAGGAATTATCGCGAAATTGTCTGTTTGACCTTCCTGCCACTCCGCCTTCATGTCAAACTTTACGGGCCAAGGTGCATGGCGCGACCCGTATCTATATCTATAAAACGACCAGAATTATATATATACACACAAGACTGCATTGGCGTTTCGCGCCATGCACCTTTTTCCGGACGCTTCCCTGGCAAAGCAATAAATCATCGCTTGCCTTAGCAGGGGGGACCTCGAGGCCTGGGCGAGCGACCGGCTCATTTTTATGATATCCCTGGTGCCCGCTGACACCGCGTTCGCCCGATGCGCTTGCACGCTTGCGCGCAGGAGTGGGGGAGGGATGATGTTTTTTTTCTTGCGCGAAGGTCCTTTCAGAAAGTAAGGAGCGTCACCATGACACGCCGAAGAAGTCGCAGTAGCTCCGAACAAATGGATTTTTGGTCACTTCCTGGATGCCTTGAGGGTCCCAGGCACTCAGGAAATCTTCGATCGTCGAACTTCGAATCTAGATCCAATGCCTGTGTCTCGCGATCGAGGAACTTAAACCTCGAGCCTCAAGCGTGGAACCAAGACCGTCGGGTCAGCTCGATGCACTTCGTGGGAAACGCCGTCTGGGCGTTTTTGGCGCTCTTTTGGGCCGTCCTGGGGCCCTCTTGGGCCGTCCTGGGGCCCTCTTGGGCTGTTTTCGGGAACTGGGGCCCTCCAGAGGTCTTCTGAAGCCATCTAGGGTCTTTTTGCGGGCCTCCGATGGCCTTCTTGGGGGTCTCCCGTGGCTTTCGTGGGTCTCTCTTGGGAGCCTTCTGGGGGCATCTCGGGCTTCTCGTGGGCAGTCTCGGGGCTCTCTGGGGCAGTCTTGGGGCGCTCTTGGGCCGTCTTCAAACCCTCTGGGGGGCCTCTTGGGCCGTCTTGGGGCGATATCAGGTCGGGGCTGGACAGAACCCCCACCCTGACACGTCGATTAGTGGATTGTCCGTTTTCGGTTCTCGAGAGGGCGCCGCGGCCGTCATTTTCCAGGCTTGCGCCCTCCATGTTTGGGCCCCAGGTCGTTGTCACTAAACCACGTTTTGCTAAAGGGGGTTCTGTCCATCCCCGATTAGGGGCCTATCGGGCCGTCTTGGACGCTGCGGAGACCCCAAAAGCGGATATGCTTAATTAAACAGATCGTGAGGGAATGAAGCGATTTTTGCTTCTTCGGGGCTCTCTTAGCGGCCTCATGGGGCGTCTTGAGGGCCTCTTAGGCCTTAGGCCGTCTTCAGACCGTCGAGGTTCCTCTTGGAGTGCTCTTGTGCTGTCTTAGGTATCTCTCTTGCGCCTCTCCGACGACCCTTCTGGTCGCCTTGGGTCTGCTCGCAAGGGACGGCAAGGCGCCCAAGGAGGCCCGGAAGGGCCACCCGACCTTCTCCAAGGTCGTCCAGGGGGCCGCCGAGACGTCCGAATGGGCGTCCGGAGCGTCCGTTAGGGGGGGGGTCCGGTTTTGGGGGTGGGGGGGTGGGGGTGGGGGTGGGGCGGGGGTCAAGTTAGCCAATTCGAACGAGCCAGAGGGTTCCGTCCATTCCCACCCGCCCTCCCGCAACATACGGAGCAAGTGCGTCTCGTCCGACGCCTGTCGTTCATCGTATATCGCGGGCGGCTAGACGTTCAGCGCGCGACATGAGCTGAGTCCTATTCCTGCCGCGTTTTGAGCAACGTCGACGAGAAACAAGACCGCGCGCGATGTACGCCGCGCCCCGCTCTGGCCTCTCATGTTGCACCGTCGGCGACAAAATGTCCAGCGCGCGAAGTGCGCAACTTCTCATTCCAGCCACGCGTGTTGCACCGCCAATCGTTTACCTCCTGCGCACAAGGAGGGGGGGGAGGGAGGAGGAGGAGGAGGAGGAGGAAGGAGAGGAGGGAGGAGGGAGGAGGAGGAGGAGGAGGAGGAGGAGGAGGAGAGGAGGAGGAGGAGGAGGGGAGGAGGAGGAAGAGGAAGAAGAAGAAGAAGACGAAGAAGAATAAGAAGAAGAAGAAGAAGAAACATAAGAAGAATAATAATAATAAAAAGAAGAATAAGAAGAATAATAATAATAAGAAGAAGAATAAGAAGAATAATAATAAGAAGAACAATAAGAAGAATAATAAGAAGAAGAAAAATAATAAGAATAATAAGAATAATAAGAAGAATAATAAGAAGAAAAAGAAGAAGACTAATAATAATAATAAGAAGAATAAGAAGAATAATAATAATAATAAGAAGAAGAAGAAGAGGAGGAGGAGGAGGAGGAGGAGGAGGAGGGGAAGGAGAGAGGGAGGGAGGGAGAAACTGAGGAGGAAGAGGAGAATGCCTCTTGGGAATTCGCGGGGCGTCCCATTCCCGCTACGCGATTCGCAGCGCGGACGAGGAGGAGAAAATACATGTTGGCAAGGGAAACGTCAAAGGCGCGGTGTTTTTTTGACAGGTAGGACGGGGGGTCCCGCGTAAGGTTCGCCAGGCGTCCGCGCGCGATGTGCGCCACGTCCCATTATTGCTACACCTCTCGCAGCGTCGACGACAAGAAAGTCCACGCTGACGAGAAAAACGTTGACCTTGTATGGTTTTTTTTCGACAAATGGGACGCGACCACCTGCTTGGGGTTACCCAAGCGATTTTCATGCCGTCTTATTACTGCTACGCTTTTCGCAACTCGACGACACGTTGGCGAGAAAAAAGTTGAGGTTGTGCTGTTATTTGACAGTTCGGACGGCGGGGTTGCTGTCGGCTGGCTGGGTGGGGACGCGGGGGTGTCATTCATAGGAAGTAAGGATGGGGGGTCCGGGTAATATAAATATTTATATATACACACGGACGCCGTCCAATGTATTTTCCTGGGCCTCAGGGGCGGACGGCAGTGTATCAATCGCCGCTGCGAGCTAGCGAGTTGATAAGCCGCCGCCCTCCCTGACAGTACATGCGCTAATTCGTCGGAGGGTGTTCGTGTGTATATTTTCGTGGCGTGTCCCCCGCCGCCCGAGGCCAGACAGGAGGCCGCCATGGAGGAGACCCGGGCGCGCGCGGAGCTGCGCGCCTTCCAGAAGAAGATGGAGCCGGACGCGGACAGGCCCGCCAGGGCCGCCGCGGCCGCGGCCGCGCGCAGCCGCCGCTGCCACGGCCCGCGAGCGCACCACGTGCGCGTTAAGGTGCCCCGGGCGGGGGAGTGGGCCTGTGGGGGGAGCGCATCAGTTCCAGGCGCGACTGAGCGGAACATGAGCACTTTGGTTGTGGTTATGGTCGATTTGGCCGTCATGAGACGCCACAGCGACCACAACCAGGACGAAGCTTGTTCCGGTGTTCCGGCAGTTTTGGCATGCGCAAGACATGTCCCGGGATGTGTCTTCGACGTGGTTGTGATCGCTTGCTGCCCCCGCATCATCCCCCGATCGCCTACAGCGGAAACCCATGCCAAGGGCCAAGAAACACCTTGCTTGTCCTCAGGGTGCCCTTGGTTTCTGTGGTTTCGATGTTTTGGCTATGGAGAGCGTGACGCTCCCATCCCAAAAATCAATGGACGTCCTGGGGTCTCAGCGTTGGGTTTCTTGTGGTCTGTATTCGTCGCCGGTCGGTGCCTGATGTGTCCCAACCCCCACCCGGGAAGGCGCGGCTTCGCCGGCGGGGGTCCCCTGGCCCATTTCGGCGGCCGAGGTGGCGCCGGATCCAGGCCGAGGTCCCCTCCCCTGGGCTGGTCCCCTCCCCTCCGCCTGCTCTTCGGCCGGCCCCTTGGCCTGCGCTTCCGCCGCCGCCCTCGCCGCGGCCCCCGCTGCCCGGCGGCCCGGCTCACCCGTGGCCTCTCTTCCATGGCTCCTTCGTGCTCCCTTGGCGCATCCCTCCTCCTCCCGGAGTCGAAGCTGATGTTCGGGATGGGTGACCTCGTCGCGCACCCTTGTCGCGCATCCTTGTGCGCATCCTCATCGCGGATCTCCTCCTCCGTCCATGGGGCCTGCGTCCGTATCGCGCATCCTTATTGCCAGTTTTGACGATGCTCCTCCCTTTCATCACGGTACCGCAAGCTTCTTGTCTGCTCGAGGTCGACCTGCCGCGTGTCCGAGCTCTTGGATAGAGAGAGAGAGAGAGAGAGCCCGCGAGAGGGGTCGAAGGAGGATTCGGACCCGCTGTCCGACGGAAGCGATCTTTTCTGACCGGCACCTGCCTTGAGCGAAATCCCCCCTTCGCTTGAGTAGGGGGATCGACTAAATGATCGATGTACCGCACAATTGGCATGGTCGTTGATTCGGCGGAAGCTACGTCGACTGCTCGTAGATCTACGATCATTTCTACGCACTTTGCCGCGGATTCGGCGAGGAAGTCAAGTTTGGGGTGAACCAATTCTGTAGTCGATCTCCTACTCGATTCGTTGCCCCCTAGGGTAGGCGGCGAAGGGCGCTGTCGGCCCCTCGGCATCGGATGGCGGGCACCGTGTGCCAGCCGCCACCCGCGCAGGATCACCGTGCCGTGGCCTGTAGCTGACAGCTCCCCAGGAAATTGGCGACTGCAGAGGGTGCGGTTACGCCGGGGTGTGGTCTGCACCGGGCGCCGTTGGGGCTTGTAAGAGGTCACCCCGTTGCGCCAACGGGTTGATGAGCCTTCGTCGGGGCGCGGCGTCGAGGTCCTCGCCCGCCCCCCCGCCCCCCAAGGCGCGGGGTTGCAGACCACACCCTTGGCAAGCCACATCCTTCGGAGAGGGCCGACACAAGCGCGCTCCGTTGACCGCTTCAGCACCCTTTCCTTCTTATGGGCGGGGAGGGGCGCGCCCGCACGTCGACGTCGATGGCCGCGGGGGGGTCCGGAACTGGCCCCGCCCTCGCGCGATGGGAGGGCTGGCCTCGTCTCCCTCGGCGGGGAGCACGGCGGAAGGGCCCGGGGAGGCGGAGCGGAAGCAGAGCGGGGTCAGCAGAGCAGGAGATGGGAGGTGCGCGCTCGTCGTCGTCTGCCTGCCTGCCCGCCCCTTTGCTCCCCTCTCCCTCTCCCTCTCTCTCGAAACCGCTGACGCGTCAGCCACAGAGCGCGCCCCGCGCCCGCCGCTGCCGGCCGCGGACTGGGGCGGGGAGGGCCCACCATTTTCCGGAGGGGGAGGGGAGGAAGGGGGAGAAAAAGGCCGCCCACAATCTTGATTTTCCACCTGAGGCCTCATAGGAAGGGGGAAGGTTTCTGGAGCGGCGGGGTCACTCAACCGTAGGAGCGTACAAACGCTAGGCAGTCGTGGCTGCCGGGGTATGTGGCCGCAGGTGGCGTCTGTTGTCTGTTGGGATTTGGGGTGCAGGTAGCGGGCGGGAGCAAACCGTCTTGTACATCCCCCCCGCAGAGGGAAAGTGCTTTATAACCCCGCAGGGCCTCGTAAAGCCTCCTTTCCCTCTGCCCCGCCGCCCCTCTAGGGCCCCCTTGGATGTTTCAGATTGTCTTTCGGGTTTCAGACTTCAGAGTCTCTTGAGCCCCCTCCCGCGTCCTTCACGAGCTCTGGATCATTCTACAGCAAGACACCGCACGTGAAGCCAGCCTGCCAGCACGTGCCCCGCGGAGCTGCTTGTCTCCCCAGTGGCCTCGGTGACCCCACGGGGCACCCCACGAAGTCGAATACCGATGGGGCAGGTGCAGCCCCGCAGTCCGTGCATCGATATTTGTGATCGTGCGCACCTGCCTCGGGAACCCGTCTCACTGCACTTCGCCCCCCAGGGAGCTTTCTGAACTCCCGAAGGATTGCAAACAAAAACGAAGGATTGCAAAAAAACGAAGGATTGCAAAAAACGAAGGATTGCAAACAACGAAGGATTGCAAAAAAAGAAGGATTGCAAAAAACACGAAGGATTGCAAAAAAAGGATTTCAAAAAAACGAAGGATTGCAAACAAAACGAAGGATTGCAAAAAAACCTTCGTGAACGAAGGATTGCAAAAACGAAGGATTGCAAAAAAACGAAGGATTGCAAAAAAACCTTCGTTTTTTGCAATCCTTCGTGCAGCCCTCTGGCGACCCCGTCGGTCCAGACCGCTGGTGAAGGGGGGAGGCGAAGGATGGCTTGTCCCGAAAGGGCTGGCACGCTGACGTTCCCGTTCCACGACTCTTTGTTGTAGGTGTCCATTTAGGCTCAAGCCTTTCAGGCCTATTCCGCTTTGGCTCGCCTTGCGTGCAGCACGCAACTGATCTTTCCTGCGATGTCGGCCGGCTTCGAACCGACGCAGGACACCATGGTCTACGAGGCCCCACCCCCCGCCCGCTACACTATTTCCCCGGAGATGTTCCACAAACTCATGTCTGGCATTCCTGTCACCGAGGAGGAGATCAATGCGGACGCCATCGCCATGGGCGCGGCCGCCTCGGGGGCGGCTGCGCCGGCCGCAGTGGCGCTGGCGACGGGTGATGCGAAGTCGCCTCTGGCCGAGGAGAAGAAGGGGTCCAAGAAGGCGAAGGGGTCCAAGAAGGCGAAGACCAAGTCGGGCAAGAAGAAGGGCTGCTGCTGAGCACCAGCTGCTGATGGCGAGGTTCGAGAGCGCCAGGTCGAGCGCTCTGCGGCCGAGCCGCGAGTTTCGTTTGTATCGTCGGGTCGCCCAACGAACCTCGTCCAGAAGGGCGGGTTGTTGCTGGGCAGGTTCGCTTCCGCAGTGCAGTAACATGGAGCGCTGAAGCGCTTCCAAGGCTTTGCTCCAAAGGGAACTTTTTGATGTAGCGGGTCTCGCGGTCCTGCTCCTCGACCCCGTCGTCCGTTATCCCCCCCCCCGCCGCGCCCAGTAATCTGTTTTGCCGCCCCCCGCGCGCCTCGCACGATGTGCCGGGAGGGCTGTATTATTTTGCGAATTATTTTGAGCCCTCAGTGTGCTCGCCCGCGCCAGTGAGTGCGGAATCGACGATGGAAACTGATCGGAATCATAGGTACCACTGCTGTCGCCATTGCCATCGTGACCTGGTCTCTAGTTGGTGTACTCGTCTTGCTGTCTGCCGTGGGGTGTACGGGCTTATTTCTATGAAGGGAGAACCCCAGAGCGTCTCCTCAGATCATCTGACTCTGGACTCAGTGGAGCCTTACATCCTCCTCCTCCTCCTCCTCCTCCTCCTCCTCCTCCCCGTCATTCTCCTCTTCTTCCTCGTCCTCCTCTTCGTCTGCCCCCTCTTCGTCCTCCTTGTCGTCGCCCGCCGCGCTTCCCTTCTCTCCTGCTCCAGCTGGGGAGGAAGTCGAAAACGATGTCGAGGACGAGGCGCAGGACCACGCCAGAGGCACACGCAGATGGCGAGGGCGGCGCTGGCGACCAGCCATGGCCCTTCGCCGCAGGGGTGCGGCGCCAGAGCGCAGATGGCCCCCCGCCTGCTCGGAAGGCCCCCCGCCATTGCACTGGCCCCGGCCACGGTCCACACGGAAACGATGCCCGAAGCCGAAGCCCTCTTCTCTGGGTCTCTTGGATGGGGTCGGAGGAGATGTGGTCGGAGGCTCGCGCCGCATCGCCGATGTGTCAGCGAAGCGGCTCCACGCGGAGCCCGATTTTCTCCACGAGGACGTCGCCGCTGCATCACCGACGTCGCCGATGCAACGCCGACGAGCCGCTGCCCTTTCATTCCAGCTCACAACCTTTGCATTCAATCCTCTTAGCGCTACAGCGCGTACCACCCATTCCGCCACGCGCGCCTCGGCACGATGGGTGCCCTGTCCCGTTCGGATTCTTTGTCAGCGCGGCAGGCCACTTCGCGGAGCGGCACCGGCGGCGGCCGAGACAAACGCATCGGTGCCGCGGGTGCTTCGGCGGCATCATTGCGGCCGCGGTCGCGGCTGCCGGCTGCGCGGCACTTGCCGCGCGGAGGGTGCGGAAGGTGGATGTCGCCAGGGCTTCCGTTGGCGGCGAAACAGATTGCGAGAGTGAGGAGAAGGATGAGGAGGAGCAGCAGGAGCAGGAGGAGGAGGACCAGTGTAAGCCCAAGACCCATCAACGATATTGCAATGCACCCTCCCTCCGAACTCAGTCTTCCAAGGCCCCTACACCCATTCATGTTCACTGAGGGAAGTGCCCCATAAGAAGACAATCGTTTGAAAGTCCAGAACAATGCCAGAACACCATTCTTCGGTTCTCAACGCGGCGAATCCAATTTTACTGTTGCGTCTTGACTATCCTGAATCGCGCTAGATCACCATTCCTGGAACTTCAACTCCGCGAATCAACGTGAGTGTTGCGCCCTGACATTCCGACATCGTGTCGAAACACCACGTCTGGGACGTTAGCAATGGAAATGCTTGAAATTGTTGCAAACTCTCAGGACGAATGTGCGCGGCGCTGAAGCGATAGCCACATTTTGCAAAGGATCTGCCCTCCATCTTTGAAGCTCCTGTAGTTTTTTAATACGGATGAGCGCGACGCTGCGGCGAGAGCTACATGTTCAACAGCATCCGCATTCCATCCGTGAAAGTCAATTTATCAAGCGACTGTGCGCGGCGCTAAGGCGAGAGCCACTTTTTGAAAGCGGACTGTCCTCCATCAGTGAAGTTGTTGCAAGTGCCAAGCTTTAGGATGAGGCAGGTTCAAATGAAACGCCAGACACGCTCTGTCGACCGGCCTCGGTGTGCGCCAGGGAGCAGTTGGGTGTAACGAAAAAGTATAGAGGAGGACAAGGAGGAGGAGGGAGGAAGGGAGGAAGGGGGGGGGGGAGGGAGGCGGGGGAGGAGGGCCCCCCCGTGCCGCCCCCACACTGGCGCGCGGCGCCAGAGGGAACGCGAGCTCCAGAGCGTCGTCGGCTGGAAGTCCTCCGTGCGGATCCAGGTCGCCGCCGCGGCCCCGGCCGGACTCGGCGCACCCCCCTTTGGCACGCGCACGCGGGGCCGAGCGGCCGAGGGTCGAGCAGTGGCGAAGCGTCCTGACCTGCGACTGGTCTAGACACCTTGTGGTGGTTCGAACGAAAGTTCGTTGGAGCACGTCGGGCTGAGGCCGTCCAGGTTGAGCACAGCAGCCCGATGTTCTGAGAGTGCTACTCTTGTGATTCGAACGTTCTTCGTCTTAGGAACACGTCGTGGTAGGCCTATAGGGATGCTGCGACGGCCGGCCCCTGCGCGAGATGGAGAGAGAGAGAGAGAGAGAGTCAGCGCCCCGAGTGATCGGGGCTGGGGGCGCTCGGGAGTAACCGCAAATGTGCACATCAGGGGCCCACACCGGAGTTGCCCTTCGAGACCTGTTCAGCGAGCCGCTCCTTCTCGAAGGGGGGGGAGGCTCCGCATGCCACGCATCAGGCGTAGCAGGATCGACCCCCCGAACACCTTAGCCACCTGGTCCATGTCCACCTCGTCCTTGTGTTCCACGGAATCATGGCTCTCGAGCTTTCGGCACGCCGTTGCCACGGAGACGAACTCTATTCCGTCGTAATCATTGAGCTGCTGCGCGTCGATCATCCTTCAGGTCGGACAGGGAGAAAACCTCCAACCCCTTCTTGTTCAACGTCTTCTCGTAGGGCGACTCGGACGCTGCTGTGCTGCTCTCGCCCATGATGTGGTACATTTCAGTCTGGCTTTCCTTCATGCGTCCCACGTACCCCATCAGGCTGATCATCTTAGCCCCATATTTCGAGGCGTATAAGCGCATCATCTGGATTTACTTCTGCGTGAGCTTCTGATTGCCCTTGCCACAGACCTCGACACCACTGGCCTCGAACACAGGAAAGGATGGCACTGTCAGGAACTTGAGCGCGTGGCGTGGCCCTGCAAGCTTTCAGACTGCAAATTCTCCTTGAGCTCAATGTTGACGTTGGCGAGTTCGCCTCCGTTGTCGAACTCGCTCTGCTCTCGTGTCCTCGAGCGTCAGGTTGCTCCTGCTCTCGAACTGCTCGGCCCCCCTCTGCATAGCCTCGACGTTGCCGAGGTCGCCAATGTACAGGTTCTGCGCGCCGACCGGGTTGAGCGCGCCCTCTTCCTTCACCACGAGCGCTTGGCCGTGCAGGCTCTCGGGCTTCTCGATTCGCTTTCTCTCGAGCGTCTAGCAGTGGATGCGGATCTATCTGCATATCCCCGAGGGCCCACAAGTATTCGCATCCGCTGGCCGTTGAGGTCCTGGGAAGTCTGGCGATGGCCAACCTCGGGCTCCCGGCCCTGGGCCCCGCGCCCGGACAGGTGGACTCCGAGGTGGAGGAGTCGGGCCGCGAGCTCCGAGCCGCGAAGCAGGCTCTCGCCGCCAGCAAGCAGTGCCCGCGCCCAAGCTGCAACCACGCCGTCGTCATCGCCGCCGCCGCCGTCGTCGCCGCCGTCGTCGTCGTCGTCGTCGTCGCCGGCGTCGTCGTCGCCGGCGTCGGCGTCGTCGTCGTCGTCATTGCCTCTCTGGGAGATTCGCTGGGCGTTTCTGGAAGACCCGGTGGCCTCGGCTGGGCGTGCGCCCGGGAAACTGAGCAGGGGAGGGGCACCTCGGATGGGCCCGGGGGAGCCGTCTGGAGCAGGTGTTTGGCTCGATCGTGGAGGTTTTTGCGTCGGGGTCTCCGTGCTTCTCCGGGCCGCCGAGCAATCGAGGTGCTGGCCTCTCTGCGCGCTCTTCGCCACGGCGGGACTCCCCCCGCACTCCTGGCCAGAGCGCACCCCGTGACAGGTGCGGGCACTCGGGTCCAGATGGGGGGAGGAGGAGGAAGAGGAGGAGGAGGAGGAGGAGGAGGAGGAGGAGAAAGAAGGATGAGGAGGAAGAAGAAGAGTAATAATCATATTATTAAGAAAAGGAATGTGAATAAGAAAACGAATAACAATAACAATATTAATAATACGATTAAGAAGAAGAGTACGAATAGTAATAACTCATAAGAAGAAGAGGAGGAGGAGGCGGAGGCGGAGGCGGAGGAGGAGGAGGAGGAGGGAGGGGTCCGACGGGGCAGCAAGTGATGGGTGGCTCTTCGGCGTCCTCTCGGCCCCGCGGAGGCTCGGGGCTAGCAGAAAAATCGGGCCCGGACGAAACATGACAATCCTTACGGCAGACGGCCCTAAGCAGCTTTATACAGCCACGATGGGGGGCCCACGATAGGGGCCGCGATGGGGGGGGGGCACGATGGGCCACCGACTCGAAGGCCCGGCATCCCTCCCTGGGCGCCAGAAGAGTTACAGGATGAGCCTACAGACAGGCTGTTTGCGGAACTCGTGCCTGTTTTGGATCGTATCTCGAGCGGCAAGAAATCGAGGCTACGCGCTTCACCCCGCGATGTCCAAGCGGTCGCATTTGTTTATCTGCACTCCCGGGCCTCCCCTTTTTCGACGCAGAAGAGCAGATGCTGAAAACCCTTCCCTTGAGGTGGCGGCTGTGGGGGCGGCGATCCAGGAGCACGCGTCGAGGTGCACTGTGGCTACTGTGGCTGCTGCGGTCGTCGCGGGCACTGTGATGTCTGCGGCTGTGCGGCCCTCTGCGCCAGCGATTTTGCGCAAGGAGCGAGTTCAGGATGCACAGGGCAAAGCTAAAGACTCCGATGATCCTGTTCAACTGTTGGAGGAACTTCGAGCTGTGCGCCAGACCCCCGACGTGACGTTTTTGTTCACAGCTTAGACCCCCTGAGGTCTCGACCCGTTCCCCGGGACTGGTTCCTCATCCCGAGCCACCCTGTGACGGTCCCGAGGCCCAGCCAGGGCCCCCTGAGGCACAAACCAGCGACGACTTCAAGGGCGGCCTAACCGATCCCGAGCAACCCACCCCCTTCCGTGACGTCCCCCTCGCGCCGCCCCAGTGACGTCACCCTCGCTTTTCAAGCTTCCCTCCGACGGAAGGGGATGGTTTGCCAGGGGGTTCGGCCGCGCCCGAAACACCCCCCGCCGCGATTGCTGTCATGACCCGAGGGGGTCTGGGTCGGCAGCTGGCGGCAGCGGCGGCGGCCTCGGCAGCGGCGTCGGCGGCGGCAGCGCCGACGGCGCGGCCGCGGCGGCCTCCTCGCGCGCCGCGCCGCGGCGGCGGCTCCCCGAGGCCCCCGCGCCGCGCCCTGGCACGAGCAGTGGCCGGCGCCGGTGCCGTCGGAGGCCCCGCCCCGCGGGCGGCTCCGCGCCCCCAGCGGCGGCCCGCAGGGGTCGAGGAGGGTAAGCGTCCTGGCTTGCCAGTCGTCGGGCCCGAGGAGCACGTCCACGATGATTGCTCGAGGTCTCGAGTTTTGGTCCACCCCACCTTTCCTCTCGGCGGTGAGTAGGACTAGTCCACAAGCTTCCCCCTCCAACTCCTTCCTCCCTCCTCCCTCCTCCTCCTCATTGTGCGGCGGGTGCCGCGGAAAAGATGATTCGTTATTCCCCATTGGTGGGACCCCAGTCCTGCAATAAGGCCGCCGACAAAATTAATTGTTTACCCACTATTCGGGGGCGGGCGTTCTAAGAGGATCCTTCAGGGTTACTCCAGGCCTCCCATATGGGGTCCGAGCAGATTGGGTCGGAGGATCGCATCGCCGATGCATCGAGGGTGCAGCTCGATGTGGAACCCTATGCTGCTTATGTTTTTTATTGTTGTGTTCTTTTCCACGCTGGCGTCGCCGATGCCTCGGCGACGTCGCCAGTGCATCGCCGATGCATCGGCGATGCGTTGGCCATGCATCTACAATGCGCCGCAATCCTCTGACCCCATCTACTCCGACGCCATCAGGAAGTCCTCTATAAACTATGTGATTTGTATCAATCAATTAGTGCCAACTTGCGACCCACATACCGTGTAAACATATTGTTCAGCACCTGTCGCCCTGAGAAGCAGCCACTTATACACTACGTTGTCCGATGGCGTTTCTGCTAAGCCCCACCAGACAGGGCTCAGATGCCTGCACCAGAGGATGCCCTAAGATCCTGATGCTGTTTGCACGAATTGTGTTCAGAGCATATCTGGGGGAAACAGTCTTGCTTCAATCAGCCAGCTTTATGTCGGACGGGTGTAGGACGAGGATACATCAGTTTCTGAGCGTTCCGGAGCGCCTTGTTCTGGAACGCTCTGAGAAGGCCGCGGCGCCTGGGACAGTCTCCAGAGCCGCCAGATCTCAGAGATTCTCGATGTATCCTCACCTGAATTCGTCCTCGTCCTGGCTCCGTTGATGAACAAAAACAACATCCACATGATTTCTCAGCGGCCCGCGCTGATTTCTTGGATCGGCGTTGGGCCTCCCTGGCGGCGCCTCCGGCGCCGCCCCTCGGTGCGCTCCGCGCGCCAGGCAGGGAGGTCCAGCACAGATTCGAGCAGTCTGCTCGGCCCGTCGACGGCTTATATGTTTCTGCCGTTTTTGTTCTCGCGGTGTTGGAGCTGCCAGTTGTTCCAGTCCTTGCTGTGGGGGTCCTCCAGGCCTGGGGCGGACTGCTTTTCCTTGTCCGGGCGATGCGGTCCAGCACGTCTGCTCAGCGTGTCGCGCCGCCGGTTCTGGTCCGCCGCGCTTCGGACCGAGTCCCGAGCGTCAGCGCCCCGAGCCTTTCCCACGCACCTCGCGTAGCGGATCGACACGCCATCAGCTTGTGGGGAAAGCGTGCCGCTGAGGCCGCCGCCGCGACACGCCAAGCAACAGTTATTGGTCGTTTCGGTCTCCAGGGTTCCAGGGCTCCCAGATGTTTGCCTCTGGACACAAGAAAGAACCACAACCACAACTCAGTGGGTTCGCACGGAGGGCCCCCCGGGGCGGAACACATCGACTTCGGTAAACACTTGAGTTGTGGTTGTGGTCGAATTGGCCGTCTGGGACGCCCACATACTAAGCTGGTTTCGGTGTTCTGTTGATTATCGGCATGCGCAAGGCATCCCCCCGGGTGTGTCTTTGATCTGGTTCTGGTTGTTTGTTGTCCCTGAAATGCTGGAGTAGGTGGGGTCGGATGGTCGCGCCGCATCGCCGGTACGTCGGTGATCGGCAGCGGGACGGCTTTTTGCGCGCAGCCGATGGGACACCCTTGTCGGAGCTCCCAGATAATTTCTTTTTATTTTGATTGTTTCGCTCGTTCCGCTGGCCCATGGTGCATCACTGGTGCTATATTATGTTGGTGTGCTCGTGGCGAGCAGGAAGGAGGAGGAGGAGGCGGAGCAGGAGGAGCAGGAGGAGGAGCAAGGATGAGTATGAAGAAGAGGGGAGGATGAGATTGAGGCCCCTCGATGGCTTCTTGGGGCACTCTTGGGTTCAAACTGGGTCGTGGACAAGGCGCCTCTTTGGGAGGCCGCTTGGGTTCTGCCAGAGTCCTGGGCGAAACGCCATGGCGGGCCAGCAACGGACTGGCGGCCACATGGCTCGCAGGCGCCAGCCTCCCCCCCCCCGGAAGGTTTTTCCTCATTGGGTACCGTTTTTTTTCGGTCGCGATCGGTAGCGATCGATCGGCACTCCAAATTGGTCGCGACCGATCGTGGCCGATTCCAAAATCGGTCGCAACCAGAAGACCTTGGCATCCAATGATCAAGGGTGAGAGCGCTGAAGCGAGGCGCTACTTGTCTGGGCACCACGACCACAACTAAGTGATTTTTTCCAGAGTTCCTCTCGGGGGAGACACCACCGACTTCGATATGAGCACTGTGGATGTGGTTGTGGTCAATGTGGCTGTCCTGGGACGCCCGCATCGACCACAAGCAGTACTAAGCTGGCTTCGGTGTTCTGACGACTGACGGCAGGGTGTTTTCTCGTTGCGGTTGTGGTCGTTTGCTGTCTCCGTATACTGGGAACTCGGGAAACGCATCGGGTGTTTGAGGAGGGGGTCGCCCTTCAAGGACGCATGGAGCATCTTGGCCTCTTGGAATGGCCTGGAGGCCTCCAGGAAGGCTTCTCAGAAGGCGGGGCGGCTTCTACATCGGATCGGACGAAAGAGGGACAAAAGTCAGGAGGGACAACAACACACAGACACGAATACTCGTCGATTCCAAGGAAACTGTGGAACATATTGGAAGTGCATGGTAAGACCATTATCCAAAAAACATGGGAAATATGATAATATTGGGGGATCCTGGGATTTGTGTTCATTTGTTTGTTTGTTCCTGGGCCCCTTCGAATATATCGGCGCCTGCCGGAGAAATCAGCCACGTGAGCTGATTCGCTATCCCCCCCTTGCGCCCTCCCGCCTTTCGTGTGACACGATCCTAAGAAGCCCATTGCCTTCTTGGGCCTTCCGATGCCTTTCCCAGGCTTTCTATCGAGAAACGTCGCGATCTCGATCTCGAGTTCGTTTTGTTTTTTTGTTCGCGGAGCGCGGAGCGAAGAAGAAATTCCGGGACCCACACATATACATCACCACCTCGGGCTGGTTTTCTGTCATGGGGGTTGATCGGATTATTGTTTCGGCGGTGGGTAGCAGGGTGCATCAAATCTCGTGGTAATGACATGTCGCGTGTGCAGAGTCATTTGGGCACGTGGCTGCACGCGCGAAAAACAGCACATTCACGTGGTGTATATTTCGGTGTGGTGCATCGCATTCTCGGGGGGTCCATCCTTTTATACACCGCCACCGTGCTGCCATACGGTGCTTGGGAGCAATTATTCGCGACCGAATGCGGCCGCAATCAGCGCGCATGACCACGTGGCAAGTACTTGCGCTTGGCGGGGACAGGCAGTGGCACCCCTGTCAGGGCGGTCGCGCGCAGGTTTGTTTCCGTTCCTATGGCCGCCTGGTGGTGGTATGAATATATATATATATATATATACGTATACATATATATACACATGTATATACACATGTATGTATGTGTGTATATATTTTTATACATATATATATATATATATATATATATATATATATATATATATCGGGGCCCCTCAGAAATGACTGGAATACCTTGCACTTTCGGAGTCCCGCGCGGATTTCTTGGACCGACGGGGAGGTCCAGCGCAGATCAAAGAAATCTGCGCGAAGCGTCGAACGCGTACGTTTACGCAATGTTTCCGTCCCCTGCTTGAGCTATTCTTTGTCGGTTTTCCACGGTGCACGGAACCGGCCTTTTCCAGGGTGAGGTGGGGGGGTCGCGAGAGCGCGAACAGTGGCGCGCTCTCGCGCTGCGCGCGGCTCGAAAGCACTATCTAGGTGACCTGTAGTCCGCGGGAGGATGGGGGGGCAGGGGGGCCCAGACGCATTCGAGATGGCAAGAAGAACGGCGGAAGGTTTTTCGCAGTTTTCAGTCTCTGTGGGCCTTTGCCAGGCTTCGGGGCCGTCCAAAACGACAGAGGGCAAAAAATCGGTCCCGGAAGATGGGTCGAGATTTTTGCAGGTCGATAATAAGAACAGATCACGGCGTCGGGAGTTTGGGGATGGTGAATGATGGATGAGTGGAGGGGGGAGAAAGGCAGGGAGGAAGGAAGGGGAGAAGGACAATCTAGGGGCGTTCGCGCCACATGTGACGTCTGTTCATCCCTCTTCTCCTACAGCTGAAGGGGTCGAGGAGAGAAACGGAGGGCTGCAGAGAGGGGGAGGGAAGATTGAGGGAGGAAGGGTGGACGAGGGGGAGGAGGGGAGGCGAATGGGCGATCGAGGAAGATGGGGTCCCCAGATCTCTCCCTGGGCCTGCCCTGTCTGATGATCCCAGCCGCGTGCAGGCGCGGCGACGAACACCTCCAGAAGACGCCTCCAAACGTTCAGAAAACGACATCGCCCGCCGTCGCCGACGCCGTCGCCGTCGCCGTCGCCGTCGCCATCGCCGTCGCCGCCGCCACCGCCGCTGCCGCCGCCGTCGTCGTCGTCGTCGTCGTCGTCGTCGTCGTCGTCGTCGTCGTCGTCGGTGTCGTCGTCGGTGTCGGCGTCGGCGTCGGCGTCGGCGTCGGCACCGGCGTCGGCGCCGTCGCCGTTCTCGTTGTCCCCTCAGGCCGTCGTCCAAAGCTCATCGTCGTCGTCGTCGTCGGCGCGCCGTCGGCGTCGGGGTCGTCGCCGTCCTCGTTGTCCCCCCCGGCCGTCGTCCAAACTTCGTCGTCACCGTCGGCGTCGGCGTTGGCGTCGTCGTCGTCGGCGTCGTCGGCGTTGGCGTCGTCCTCGTCCTCGTTGTCCCCTCAGGCCGTCGTCCAAACCTCGTCGTCGTCGGCGTCGTCGTCGTCGGTGTCGTCGCCGTCCTCGTTGTCCCCTCAGGCCGTCGTGCACACCTTGTCGTCGTCGTCGGCGTCGGCGTCGTCGTCGGCGTCGTCGTCGGCGGCGTCAGCGGCGTTGGCGTCGCCGCCGTCTTCGTTGTCCCCTTAGGCCGTCGTCCAAAGCTCGTCGTCGTCATCGTCGGCGTCGGCGGCGGCGTCGGCGTCGGCGTCGTCGCCGTCCTCGTTGTCCCCTCAGGCCGTCGTACAAACCTTGTCGTCGTCATTGTCGGCGTCGTCAGCGTCGTCGCCGTCGTTGTCCCTTCAGGCCACCGTGTAAACCTCGTCGTCGGCGTCGGCGTCGGCGTCGGCGTCGTCGCCGTCCTCGTTGTCCCCCTCAGCCGTCGTACAAAGCTCGCCTTCGTCGGCGTCCTCGTCGTCGGCGTTGGCGTTTGCGTCGTCGCCGTCCTCGTTGTCGCCCTCAGCCGTCGTACAAAGCTCGTCGTCGGCGTCGGCGTCGGTGTCGGCGTCGGCGTCGTCGTCGGCGTCGGCGTCGTCAGCGTCGTCATCGTCGGCGTCAGCGTCCTCGGCGTCGGCGTCAGCGTCGTCGTCGTCGTCGTCGGCGGCGTCGTCATCGGCGTCGGCGTCGGCGTCGGCGTCGTCGGCGTCCGCGTCGTCCCTTCCGAGCAGATGCGCTCACCCCTCCTGGGGCGCACCCTTGCCGGTTCTCTCTTCTCCGGAGCGATGCCTGGCAGTCTTGGGGCCCAGCACAAAGGGGGGCCCGGAGGCCGAACGCAGAAGGAGTGCTAAGAAGCACGCCGTGCGTCCAGACGGCATTCGCGCGGAGTCTCGAGGATCGAGGTCTGAGGTTGTTGGACGTTTTCGCTGGTTCTGAGCGACTTCCCAGCCTCGGGATGCTCTCCAGCGGCTGCGCCTCGCCGAGAGGCGTCCAGGGGTACCTGGATTGCTCCGATCGGCCGCCAGAGGCCCGAGTTATGACCCACAAACCACCAGGGGACCAGCCTCAGGGCGACTGCGCGGGCTTTTTTGCGTAAGTTGTCCGCGTGAGGTCGCACGTCCGCTTCTTTGCTTCCAGTCTGGCGTGCCGCGCTGGCGGCCCACCTAAGCTGCGGCGAAAGTTGCTGTGTGATCTCGCGCAAGACCCGTGTCTTTCCGTCGCTCATATGAGCATCTGGAGCATGGCAGCGGACGTCGGGTGCTCGGCTTCACCTTGCCTGCCAATGGCCCTCGTGTTCGCGCAAGATGCAACTGGCAAAGCTGACTACGGTTGTGAACTTTTCAATGCGTGTCGCGCCGCCGCTTCTGGCCCACCGCGTTGCGGAGCGACATGCTATCCACTTCGCGGTCACCAGGCGTCAACTTGCCGAGCTTTTCCGAGCCTCCCGCCCCGCGGGACGGAGCGACACGCTATCCACTTGCAGGGCACACCGTGCCGCCGGGGCCGCCGCCGCGGCACTCTGTGCAAAAGAGTTTCCGACCGCACCCTGGAGAGGGAAGAGGACGAGGACGAGAAGGGGGAGGACTGGGACGAGGAGGGGGCAGGAGGAGGAGGGGGAGGGCCCAGGACGCTCCAGCTCCGTGGCGTAAGGTCGGCTAGCATGAAACGAGGAGGGGCAGAGCCCAGAGGCCGACCTCGCTGTGACGGCTCTGGCGCGAGCTTCTCGCCGCCCCCTCGGCGGCCTCGCGCAGGCCAGCTCGCAGCCGCTCTTCGCGGTGCGTCTGTCGGCCAAGGCTCGGTCGCGCGGTCGCGCGGCGGGCCGCGTGGGCGAGGAGGGGTGATGACGTGATGATTAAAGGGGTGGAGGGGGGACAACGATGGGGGCGATAGGACTCGGGGGGGATGCATCGACCCCCAATCGTCTATTCATCGCCGATCGGGCGCCCGATAGCCCCACCCCGCCCATGAACGTGGGCATCTGCGATCGGGAGCCTGTCCCCCTCTATCGTTGCCCCTAAGGGGGGGATTTCATGTCCAGGGCCGTGTTACCTCCCAAGATTTCATGGTCCCTCTTCTCACAGTCCACACTGATGGGAAGTCTAGCAATGATGAGCGACTTCCCAAAGGGTAACTTTGCATCCTTGCCTCTTCGGGGCATCCTGAACCCCTTTCGATGGTCAGCCCCGCTCGAAAAGCTTCGACATGGGCGTCCAAGGGGCATACATCCGCATCTCGCATCCTTGCTATCAGTTTTGACTGTATTGCAACACGGTCCTTGGCCGCCCCTGGTTCGCGCACATGCCTCGGGCCATGATCTGCGAGGCCCCCTCTTGTGCGTTCTCCTCTTGGACGCCCCCGAGTCTGGGAGGCGGCGGGGGGCCTTCGCCCAGGGGCCGAGGGGGAGGGCAGTCAGAACTCTGAGGCTCCACGCGCGGTGTGCGGCTCGAGGGAGCGCAGGCATGGATTGAGGCGCGTGGGTCAGCGACGGGTCACGCTTCCGTACCACATCGGCGCGCTCCGTCGCCAATTAGGTGGCATTAGCGCCAGGTTCGGGACTGCAGTCAGAACTCTGATGATCCACATGTTAGGGCGACGAGATCTATGCATATCCACTGCTCCTGGCCAGGCCCATCCTGGGCCCAGGAGCGGTGTATATGCCTCCCTGGCCAAGCCAGGAGGGCGTATACACAGCTCTTGGGCCCAGGATTGGCCTGGCCGGGAGCAGTGGATATGTATAGATATCGTCGCCCTACATGTGGTGCACGGCACCGCTGAAGGACGGGGGGGAGGGTGGGGCTGTGGTTCCATGGTATTTGGCGCTTCAGTATCAGCCATCGCTGACTCCAAATAGATGGGAGGACAGGAGGAGGACGAGAGGAGGATGGGAGGAGGACGAAAGGGGGACGGGAGCAGGACGGGAGGAGAACGGGAGGAGCAAACTCTAGCAAGCGCAAGCAAGCAAGCGGAAGCAAGCAAGCGCAAACGAGCAATAACAAGCAAGCAAGAGCCAGCGATCAAGTGCAAGCAAGCAAGGGCAAGCAAGAGCAAGCAAGCGAGAGCAAGCACGCAAGAGCAAGCAAGCAAGTGCCATTGGAAAAAAGGTGGGGGTGCCATTGGAAAAAGGGGGGGGCATCGGAGAAAAGGGGGGGTCCTAAAGACCAATCAATTTTGATGAGCTAGGACTCCTATAGGGCAAGCCTACCTGGATCATTATCATGGAGAGGGTTGTCCAAGGAAGCTCCCTCAGTGAAGCGCTCGAATCACCATAAGCGAAGCGTAACCCATCGAAACCGTGCAATCGTACCTGCGGACCGTCAGCCTGCCTGGGTGATTCGACGCATTCAGCGCGTTGCTGTTGCGTCATTACGTCTGATGGATGGAGTCGGGCCGGTCAGAACTTCGAGATAGTGTTCGTGCCTGCGTGGATCTCCCCCTCTGGCGCTTGAGGATCGGGGTCCTGGGAGGAACCCTGGGCGGCAGGGTTGTCCAAAACGGCTCAGGATGTTGCCCTCGAGGGAACCCTAGGGTCCAAGATCGATTTCCTTCATGTCGAGGGGAGGCAGCAGCGGCATCGCCCAGACCGGAGGAGGAACAGCAGGAGGAGGGTCGAGTGGGGTCGCTCGGGGCTTTTTGGTCAGGTCTGGGCTGACCCAGGAGCTTGTCGGAGCATGGGTGCCGAGCGCGTGGAGGCGTCGCGTCTCAAAGCGAGCGACCCGACTGGCGCCGAGGATTCGGACCCTTCGCAGCATGTCGCACCGCACCAGTGAAGTGACGAGGTTCGGGCTCGAGGATCGGCAATCGCACGTGAGATTCTCACGTTTTCCGATTTCGGTCTCTAGGCCAAGTTTTTGGCCCTAGGGCTGTC